TAATTTAATCTTCCGAATCTTCTAGACTTTAGAAATGTTATCGCACTGAATGGATCAAATTCTGTCATATTGTGGGCCACTGTTTTACAACCGCTCATTTCACAATGTAACCTTCTGGGAAAAAGTATTTCTGGGCCATGTGTGCATCACGTGACAGACGCCATTGCTGTAATTACATGGTTTGGCTTCTATGTCTATGGCTTCAAAGCCCTGCGCTCTTCCTGGGGGCTTGTGAAAAATACAAAAGACTGTAGAAACATGACGCTTTAACACGGCAGCCTCCATGGGATGATGAAAACGTCTCATTCTAAGGTAACAAAAACAATTATTCTTATATTCAGGTGATTATCCACTAATGAAAACAATATTATATATTATATTAAACAATATTATATTCATTTCTGCCAATAGATCCTCCTCTATTTTACACACTGGATCTTTAAGGAAAGACTAAAAACGTGTAAAGTGCAAAGTTTAAAGAGATGTTCAAAAACTAATAACAAGCTCGAATCCATTGCTCGTGGCTAGATGTTAGCCTGCATTTAAAAAGCCTCTCAAAGCAGAATATAACTTACTGGAGGAGGACATCAAAAACAACTACTTTCACTGCTGGAGATGAATAAACATTTTGATTACCACAAAGTCTGTACTTTCACATGAGCATTTTCACAGCAATAATTCATTAACTTATAATGTAACCCAGTTTCATAACCTTTTCAGGTAATGTGGTTTTATATCATCAAAGGTCTCACAACTCATGATATGATGTAATTTGACTTCAGCCATCACCTCAAACTTTCAAGTATACAACTAAAAGGCATTAACAAGGACTTATAATGTCACACAGGTCAACTCACATTACACTATTTATCATCTTTGTGCAGAGACTCCTGGGTTCACTGCGTTAATATCACAGCTGTTCAGTTGAGTAGCTTATAAGGAGCCATTTATCAATCTCGCCTTCTCAGACACTGACGAGAGAGAGACCCATTCAGTAGCATCACTCATAACTCTGTGTCATTCTGTGCATATGTCACGGCGGACGGCCACTTCAGACTGTGAATGAGGCTCCATATGTTGAGGAGACAGAAGGACTGAATAATTGGGTCAGTAGAAATTAGGCTGAGTGTGAGAAATGAGTCAGGCCCTTCAGCCCGGTACCATTCGGTCAAAGTGTGCGGAGCTTAAAGACGCGTAGCGCTGCCAACCATTCCTGCAATGCCAACAGATTTTCTTTTGAGTGCTTTAAAAAAAATCTGAGTTGCAGCCAAAGTCTTTATAGCGATGGATCTGGGTAAATTACAGTGTGTCTAATTGAGCACAAAAAGTTTCTTTTCATTTGAGATTAGCAATTCTTTGTATGGATTGCGTCGGGATCTTAACCAGCGCTCTTTGGTTCAAGCACCTGCGTCAACACACTGCCCTGCTGTAGGTGCCATGTGCAGATATTGTAGGAAGAATTGAGAATTAAACATTTAAAAACAGTAAAAACTGTACCTGGCAGTAGGGTTGCATTTTCTTTCTATAAAGTCAAGTCTGAATACCATAAAACTTCAGTTAGTCTTTATTTGGGACAGGCCTTTAATTCCTTTTGCACAAACCTTTGTTCAGCAAAGAATACTATTAAATTGTTTCTTTAAAGCAGTATGAATGTTACTTCTATCGAATAACAATTACAAATGATTCTGATTGAGACTTGTTGAAACGCTGTACAAGGCTCGTAAAGGGGACCTGCATCTAATTGAGACCCTGCTGGTAATTGAAGTTACACGGTAGTTACAGTATTCAGGAGGTTCAGGAGGTTGTGACAGTATACTGCCCCTCTTAGTAAGCTGATTGGTCCAGTTTGCAGTCGTTGGGCTCAACTCATACTCAGTGGATAAGAGAAGCTGTTTATCCCACAGTCTCTCATTTTCCTTTTTTTCTCTGTGCATTAATGAAGTGGAGTCATACAGCTTCAGAATAGGTTTGAATTATGCTGACATTTCAGCTCAAGTGGTCTTTACCTCAGTTTGCACCACATAGATCCACGTCTGTTTGCCTCTATTCATATCCCCCCAACCGTGCTGACTTTTAGACTGGCTTTGCAGGTCTGTGTCACAGATTGTAAGGAAGATGGACGTAGTGTCTGTGACGTCACCCACAGGTTTCTGAAGAGTTGTTGTGAAGCTCAGTGTGGTCGGCTCTGGCCGTCACCATCTTAACAGCCCTGACTCCGCTGGCGCCTTTAAAGTGTTTCTCCTGTAAAGTTAGGCATTTGATTTCGGTTCAAGTGATGATGTGCTCATAGGGTCGGGTGCAGCAGTCAGGACCAGCCAGAGATGACAGAGATGAAGTAAACACTTCAGAGTAAGCTGTAAGTGTCAAGGAATCTTTGAGAGGATAAGAGTCCTTGGTCAGGCAGGTTCTGGTGTGACGATGCAGAGAGTAAACCTGCAGAATCAGACTACTTCACAAAGGGGGTCCGCCCTCCAGCTCTGTGCCAAACATAGATAGAAAAACAGATTATTGTTATTTGAAAGGTTTGAAAATTGGTCCATTCAGTTAAGTAAAGATGACGGAGTAGTTTTGTTTCCAAATTTCGGTTTGCTTTTCAGCCCGAGTTGTTAGCAAACGATCTCCAGTAGGTGCACCTTGAGTGGAGTGGTTATTATGTCACCTGCTGTCTTAAAAGTCAAAAATAAGCTGACAAGCTTGACCTCTTAAGTCAACAGTCAACAGCAAGAACTGTGTGAAATAATGGGACCCGTGAACATCCAAAGTCCCAGCAGATGAAGACAGGGTGATATGGTCTCAAAGGTCCAGATTGTTTGACCAAATGTTGGGAAATATTGGGAAATAGCCAAAGAAATGTATGGATTTACTGCCGAGCTGTATTTGTGTGTTAAAACCAGATGGTGCTTGAGCACAGAGGAGTGTGTGTGTGTGTGTGTGTGTGTGTGTGTGTGTGTGTGTGTGTGTGTGTGTGTGTGTGTGTGTGTGTCTGTGTGTGAATATGGGAAATAAATGTCAGGTGCCCACACGGTCCTTTTGTGTCCAGTTGTCAGTTATTCTCACTGTTATTGTCGTGTGAATGTCACCCTATTTTAAGTGCAGGGTGATGAGCTGTCCAGTGGTCAGTTTCTTCCCTCATTACCAGTAAAATGGACAGAATGATCCCAAAACTAGGAGGACATAATGGGATTTAGCTGGATGTTCCTGTCAGCTGAGACAAGGCTGAGCACATGTTTCGAGGCCGGACTCAAACCCAGGATGCTGTGGTTTAACAGGTTTAACAGGTCCTGGTCTCCTGAGCCAGGACAACCAACTTACTGTGTGCACACATACATACAATCAACCCAAATACATGTTGAATAAAAACAATAGATTTGATTTGAGCCAGCACTTCAGCTCTTTTAAGCTATTTTGCTTCAACTGACACTTCCAACTCCTGTTAGAACATTAACATTAACTGATACTTCTCCTGTCAGCCCTTCCACTTCATATATCATGTAACAAACGTCAGATCGATTCAGTGCTGGCACTTAGGCTGCCTCTTCAACTCCTTTCAAAGGACCGGTCTGCAGGATTTAGTGGCATCTAGCTGTACAGCAACACCCTTGTCTCATCCTCCTCTTCCCAAGCGTGTAGGAGAAACTACGGTGGCCACGAAACACAATGGCCCTATCTGAAGTCCAAGTCTCTAACCCTAAATGTTACACACTGGACCTTTATCACTTACATTTTAACTGCTACCTAAACTGCTTTTAGTGTTTTTGTTTCAGCTGCCAACTTCAACTTCTTTCAGTTATTCAGCTTCATCTGTCACTGCCTTCAACATCTGCATCTAGGATTTATCTGACAACAATAATAAATGTTGGAAACTAGAATTGGAAGCTCAGCCGTGCTTATATAGAATAATCCTGTCTAATTGTGCCTGTAGCAGAGTCATACGCTGAATTACTTTTCACTGGACGTCTGTATGAGATTTCTGATGTGTTTTGGTTCTTTACGTGACAGCCTGATGGGACTGTAGTTGCTGAACTTGATACGAAGAGACTGTTAGTTAATGGGGGTTCATCATATCTGGCCCCGTCACATCAGCATCATCTGCTCAGTCTTGTCCTGATTTATACACAAACACAGTAGACTCATTGTTCTGTTCAAAAAGACAAAACCCAGCAGTGCTCACTTTTCAATTACTTTTAATCAAAACCCCACTCTTCTTGTCATAGGTAATTTAATTAAAAGTGTTAATCTTCCAGGTTATGCCTCCAGGTAGCCGTGGAGACTTGAGATGATTGACGGGGCCTCTCTATCTCCCCCTCCTCATACCTTCTTTTTTTGCTGCCAGCAGACTATGCTTGGTTTGGCCCAGGAAGCTCTCAGCAGCAGAGGTTGGATGAGCAGGAGGAACAGATGGATGAAAGGAGGGAGTTTAGGAGGTAAAGATAGTCGGTTGGGTAGATTATGGATGGACAGCAAGGTGGGCAACTTCCCTCCTTTCCATCTTTAACTCAAAGATTGACTCAGCGGGCCTATCTATTGGGAGCATCATCAGTTTAACCAAGAATAACACTTAAATCGCCAGTTGGATGGCTGGCTGGCTGCCTGGCAGGGATTTCTGTCATTCCCAATGTAATTAGTGTGTAAGGGGAGCCAGGAGAGAGTGGCGCCAGCCAGACTTAGGTTGAATAATACAGGGGGAGGTGTAGGTGCACTGATGGATAATTTAACACCGATCTCCAGAAGGCAGCTACACTTTGCAGTACCTGAGTGCATTGCAGACAGAATGTGACATGTGAATATGTTCAAGTGAAGAAGTTGAGACAGACTGACAGATTTCCATAATAATAAATCTTTTTTTCTCACTGTTGTAGAAAAAGCCTTTATCTGCACTGATTAATGTGCATCGCTATGCAGGAACGCCAGAGAGAGAATTATTATTCATAGTATTCATATGAAATGATAAGTGTTCTGATAAGCACCATGTTGTTGTGTTCTTTGTGTTTCCCCTGCAGATAATTTTCCGCAAAATCAGTGAGGTGAAGAAGGAGGAAGAGGAGCGTCAGCGAGCGAAAAACGAGGTGCAGCTCACCATCCCGCAGGACCATCCCGTCCGGAAGCTTTTCCAGAAGTTCAAGCAGCAGAAGGAGCTCCGTAACCAGGGAGCTGCAGCTGCCTCTCAGCTGGACCTGGAGAAGAACCGGCTGCAGGAGGAGCAGCACCAGCACCAGCACCTGCACCCCCACAGCCTACAGCTGGGCCACTCCAGCCTGCAGCACTCCCTGCCGCTCAGCCTGCAGCGGCCCCCCTCCTCCATGCAGAATGGGGCTCCGCCCAGCAGCAGCGTGCTGACCGTGTCTCAGGTCACGCCCATGCAGAGCTCGCTGGCTTACAGCCATCCCGGCGAGCCCCCGGTCAAGCAGAACAACTGTGATATCATGGAGCTGCAGCCCAGCGCTGCCGGAGGGGGAGGTGAGCAGACTGTCAGGCTCAAAGTCAGCACCAGCCCTGCGCTGGCAAAGCCGGCCATCAAGGCCACCGGCTGGATGCGCCTGAAAAACAACATGGCTCCAGTGGAGGCCAGGAAGGAGGGGCTGAACAACAACGTCAAGGCTGTTTCCGTGGAGATGCTCTCACAGGAGGGTAAAGGTCAGGAAGCAGGAAGGAGCGGGGACGTAGAGGAGGGCGGGGTGTCCAGCAACAATCCCCTCCGCAAGACAGACTCCTGCGACAGCGGCATCACCAAGAGTGAGCTGCGGATCGACCGGGCGGGGGAGGCGCGGACCCCCGCCGCGGTCACCCCCCTCCTCCACAGCCCTCTCCCCGGAGGAGCGGGGTCCCCTCACCCTTTCTGTCCCATCCCTGAGCAGGCCCTGCAGGCTGCACTGCACGAGACCCGGCTGGAGCTCCGGGGGGACATCCAGACTCTGGGAGGCCGTCTGGGCGCCCTGGAGAGTCAGGTCGCTGAGATTATCAAACTGCTGTCGGACAAGAAGAGAGTGTCCACGGGGGCGCCGTCTGCCTCCACCACACCCAAAACCAAAATACACCGTCAGGACATTTTCACCGTTTCCAGGCCTGTTTCTCCAGACTTAGAGAAGGACGAGGAGCTCTGAAGAGAGCTCAACCAGTGGTGTAGAGGGTGTGCTGGAATATACGGTGATCACATGACACATTGTGACACTATGATCACAATTATCAGTTCATGGTTACGCTTGTTTTTTGGCATCCAGCTCCGACGGACCCGGCTACGCCACTGGTCTCAGTTCTCCGAGATAAAAAAACTGGCTTCTTTAACATTTGCACACTGACTTTTACCTCCAGGTCACGACAGAGTCCACACTCCACAGTGACCCGGATCCCGTTTTTTTGATTGTACATACCTCTCTATGCATGTCCAGCTGGATTCTGGCCTGCCAAAGAAACAACTAAACGTACTTATTGCCTGTATATTATGCAGTTGACTGCATGCAAATTGAATTTAAAGAGAAGTGACATTTTATTGAGCTACACTGTACATATGAATATTTTTCATTGATAATTTACTATGTGGACATTCAGGGTTTGCATACTGGTAGCACTCTAAACATTGAATAACAAAAGGGTTTACTGGCAACGGGATTGTGCATGGATTATTTCTAAATAGAGAAAGGGATGGAGGTTTTATTTTTTTCTTTGCTTGTGAGATGAAATAGGAGTTTGATTCTGCTCTCACCTCGCCCTCTAAGAACACAAATGTGATGAAGCAGCATCCCTCAACACAGGGGGGGAACTTTCCAGTATGTTTTTATATTAACTATTGATTTTGCTTCTTATAATAATTTCTATTTTTGATTACGGAACTGTCCTCAGCTTCTGTTTGATGTCCAGTAAACCCTCAAATGTTTATTTTGTTAGGATCCTCCTTGTGTCTATGCATCGCTCGGGTACGCCGCTAGAATATTCTGAATATTATACCTTTGTTATCTGTGAATGAAGGACATTTTTTTTGGTTCCATTCCTCTGCATGAATCAGGGATGGCAGAATGCACTTTGGGTAAAGCTGGGATGACGAGAAGGCTTTGGGGAAATAACACAGAGTTTAGTTCACATAAAAGTCCACTCAGCACAGTGACATGTAATCCCACAGCCCCAGCACCACACGGCAGTCTTAACCAGCGAGCGTCTCACTGAAGCCCGCTCTGAATTCCATTAATGACAGCAGCTTCGCCGCAAAAAGCTCAAGTAATAAAAAATGGAATACTGTACTTTTTATGATATCAGTTTTCTAAATCTGCATGCAAAGGAGTAGTTTTATGCTCCAGAGTGCGTACATATATATAAATATATGTGTGTGTGTGTGTGTGTGTGTGTGTGTGTGTGTGTGTGTGTTTGTGTACAAGAGCTTACACACACACACACACACACACACACACACACACACACACACACACACACTTCCTGCATACACATGCTCAGTGTGACGGCGTCTCTTGATGTGAACCCTGACGGCCCAGGGAGACTTTTTCTTCATAGAAGACAGATCAGTCGGTTTTGTCAGAAGTCAAGGTTTTTCAGGTCTTGTGAGATTCAGACGCTGTCCCTCCTCACCCTGCAACACTCATCCCACACACACACCTACACACACATGCACCATCATTTTTAATAAAGCGGAATAATAAGAATAAGGCAGAACATAGACGTACGGTAGCCATCATGGAAGCCTCGGTTGGTTTTAAATGACTAGATTCATGTCATTCCTTTATAACGTTATCAGCAGTGTGAGTGAATGGACAGGTGACAGAAAACGGGCTAGTGTGGGAGGAAAAACGCACCAGCCAGATGTGAAACAGAGGTTCAGGTCATGTAACACATCTTGCGGTGGCCATACTGGAGGTCATAGTAAGTTAACAGCCTCTTGGATTCCTCGTGGGGGGCTTTTTATGCCTTTATTAGACTGTCAACAGGAGAGAGATAGCATTAAAATCACCAACGCAGGATTTGACCATCTCAGTAGAATTGTTTCTGAAAGGGCGGTACAGTGACATATTTCTATATCAGTCTAATGCCAGGATCTCACAGACATACTGTGTCAGGAAAGAAAATGTAACGCCTTTGACAAGTTTCACCGTTGGATGCTGGATGTTGATATTACTGATCCAGGAAAGCTACTGGCCATTCAAGGAAGACTGATTAATTAATTTGTTCTACGTTGTATTCTCCTGCATGTAGACACATCTACATGCAAATATAACTATAACTGTTCTTAATGGCCACATGAAGGCGAGACAAAAAGCCGGCCACATTAAAAGAGATGTGACCAACTGCACTGCACACAGTCCTACATACATCTCAGCATTGATAGATAGGTGTGCATGAGAATCAGTGTGATAAATGTCAATTGGCATCAGTGTTTAGTTTTAATGATCATACTTGAAAGATGGGTTTTTCATTCTTATGAAAAAGTCTCAAATAAAAGAAAACATTAGTGTCTTTTACAATTTGCTGGCGCTCAAAACTTCCCAACAAACTGAAATTTAAACATCCACCTTTTTCGAAGTCTGTCACGATGTTGGACTCATTCAGATGATGAGTATTAAAAACTTTGTAATGCTAATTGGCATAAAATCACACCAGCTAAAGACGAGTTTAGATGTGAGATTTCTGCCACAATATGCTAATCTGGTTTTTACTTTGGAACATTTTTAAACAAACACACTTTTATTGGCTTCTGTAGTGCAAATGCAAATTGAAATGGAGATTTCATCCTGTGCACAGAAGCCCGTTTTCTGTACCAATCTGCTTCACATTCACTCTGTCACCGCTGGGTGTTTCTCAGTCCTTCTCTCTGCTGTCAGCCACTGAGCAGATCCCCTGCAAGAATCAGGGGACAAGTGCCTTGCTCAGGGGCACCTCAGCAGCAGTTTCAGGCAATCTGGCCACTATCTGTACTAATTTATGAGAGGATTTCGATGATGGCTACCACCGTACCTGTACATGCTTCATATCTCTTTATCTTACTGACATGTCACTTATATCAAATATCATGCAAAGCTATGCAACATTTGATTCTCTAATAGTCGTAAAGAGGCTGATTCTGATGGACTTTTATTGTTCCACAGTATATAGTGTCAATAGGCAAGCCAGTATTAGGGTCATTATTGCGAATATATCTATTTCAGGGTTTGTTTGCATGTGTAGATAAGACGAAATATCAGTTATTTATATCTACCAACCAAATGTGACACCCAAACTTACCAAATGATGAATAGCATAAAATCAAAATTAACTCTCTTTGTTTAGGGAAGGTTCAATACTTGCCCCCCAAAAGTCTGGATTATAATGACCAACAGGTCCAAAACTCCCACTTGAGTTCTTGACAGGATACCTCTCAAACGAATGAATGACCGTTAGTTTCGGGTGTATTTTAGATTAATGCCAACTTTCGCTAAAACTTGTATTCAAAGTAAACTTAGAAACTGTTGACTTTCTTAGACTGATTAATTCTGAGTCTGACATTTGAGTCTGAAATATCCTCAAACGGCCACTTCTTGATCTCAATAAACTTCACATTGGCTTCCCTTAACCCTAACCCTAACCCTAACCCCTAAGGTCAAACTCAACAACACACAGGTTAAACAGGCTAAAAGAAAAAGATCTTTACAGATTAAATTAAGATAATAACTAGATATGCTGTGATGCCAACAAAACCTTAACATGAGTTGTGTAGAAGTTGCCTCAGTTAACTTGCATGAAACTTTGAATGACGTAGATACGCCGTGAAATGCACACGCTTGTATGAAGGTGCAGTATAAAGGGTGACAAAGTCTGTGTATGGAGGATGGTGGGTCAAACAAACAGAAGACTTTCACCCAGGAGACCGCTCTTCAAGTCCCGTGTGAAAACAAATGTCAACATACGCTAATTAACATACTTGACTTCCTAAAACTAACCAAGTAGTTTTGTTGCCTAAATCTTACCATCAGCGAGCTTTATTTTGAAAGTCTAACTGGACATTATTCACAGATTATTGCTAACTTTAGCAAGTCAGCAATTATTAAATGCTTGCAAAGCTTCCAAAACTTTTCCAAAACTACTTTTATTGATTTAATTTCATGACTCGATTTGAAAGAAACATCCCCTTTAATACACTTACGATACACTTACTAGTAATGTGTCTCTAATGGCTAACTGGCCAAACATAGACAGCATTATATCAAACTGGGGGAGTGTATTTCTACTACAGTTTGACAAAAGAACGTCTTCCCGTCTTACAGATCTAACATTAGGGTTTGGTCGCCTTTTCCTAAATCGATCATAGACCAGTTTTTCCAGCCGCAATAACAGAAAACAGACCATAATGCAATGCAGTCCCAGCTTGTGTCTTTATGGATCTGCAGATAGCACAGTGTGAGGGATTGTGCTCTTTTTTGATGAGGTTTTTGTAGTTTGACCAAGTGGGCACTCTCATTTGGCAGCAAAGGGTCTTCTTTGGAAGATGTTAAAAGCTTTTTGGGAAACCGGGAGATCACTTACTGACAAAGCTGGAGGAATAATGTGCGCAGCAAAAAACGTAAATTACAAAATAACCCCAAGAAAGCAGCAGACGTTACAGATTTATTATATCTGTCTAAATCTGAGAACCTCTGAGACGGATTTTTCCTTCATTTTGATTCATGCTGATAGTCGCCTGGCACTACAGCTGTCAGTGAGATCATATCATGATAGAGCTGAAGATTACACCTAACAAAAACAAAAGCCATAATACAGGATGAGACGTGACGGAGGGCATCGATCTACTTTTGTTCTGTATCTGTTGGAGCAGTTATTCTCCTCTTTCTGCAGTTCTAAAACTTTTTAAACCTTGAAACAGAAAGTTCATTTCACATCATTTTCAGTCAGTGTAGGAGTCGCATTGGAAAGCGTCCTTCAAAACTTTTCTGAAACTGACCTTTTTCCAAGATGAGTGCGATCAATACGTTATATACAGTACATATGTATTATTATATATTATATAAGATTGTGCTTCTACACTCGGGTTAAAGTCAGGACCAGAACCTTCATACTGGGATTCTTGCCAGAATCTACTTCCCACTGAGAAAGACACAGTGTGTGCAGAATAAATTGAAGTACTACCTTAGAGTTATGTTATCACAGTACTACGGTAGTTTATTTTTCTACTTTTATGCCAAATTGACTGCTTATATTTAGGCTGTGTGGAAATATATTAGAAAGAAACTTATTTTTAAATTAGAGTACACCCCTGAATAACAAGAAAATGTCTCCCGCAACTTAAATCACCCAAACAGCTGCACAAAATCTTCCCCAAACTGGCTGCAAGTAGTTCAGATCTAGCCTAATAACATTTAAACTAATTTATGAACATCAGGTTCAGGTTTGTTTTCTATTGGTCTGTTTGGATTGGAACCCAAGTTTTTAACCTATGAAAGGACTTTCACCCAGGAGAGAGCTGTTCAAGTCCTGTGTGAAAACAAATGTCAACTTACCCTAACCCTTATAATACTTATAATACCTAAACCTAACCAAGTAGTATTGTTGCCTAAATCTAACCAAACTGCGACCTCAGCAAGCTTTATTTTGATATTCTAACTGGACGCTGAATATTTGTTATTGTTTACTTGAATTAAAAATTGACACCGCCATGATGGACATGTGTATTACACATACATATATATAAATGTGTGTTTGCACGGTTTTTTTAAATGACAAAAAATGAAATAATACACAAGGAGAGTAATAATTGTAACATTAGTGACTATGAAGTCTGTAGTGTGCCACTGGAATAACTATATATTTCCAGTGTTTTCTTACCGTCAATTATAAGAAGAAGAAGAAAAAGACGATGGTAAATCAATTGATTAAAAATTAATTAAAATTATGTTTTACCCATTAGCATGTAAAGTTGTGTATGTTGGCATCAATCTAAAATATGTTTCTTTTAGAGGTATCCTGTCAGTAAAAACTCAAAAATCTAATCATCATTAAATTTGCCAATTATTTCTATTTCAGCTACTTTACTGCCCATCAAATAAAGTCTCACAATGAATTTCCTGTTAATCATGTTTTTGCTTTAATTTAAAGACGTATAAACAACGTGTCACCAAAATAAACTGCAGTCACGGAGCAACAACCGGAGCTCTGATTGGCTGGCTGCTGTGTTGACAGAAATCTGTCCAATCAGAGGTTCTGTTGTGAATGAGGTAGTAAATTATGAAACAAAATTTATTTTAACAAAATGTAATTTATCAGTTCAATAATTGGTTATAATTAAACACATTAAAAGTCTATATTTTCTCTAGTGGTGTGCTCCATACATGCAGTGGCCCCAAAATGAAGATATTTGAACTCAAACACATTATTTTAACATATTAGTAAAGAATTAAATAGAAATATATAGAATGGCATCAGCAATGTATAAATCCTTAGACATTTTGTCAGATACATGTTTTTTTATTGAATTTAGAACTATCAATTAAAATGTGGCCATAAGGGATAATTTTTAAATTAATCTAAATGAAGATGTTACATGCGTGTACAATGCTGTGGCACGAGTTCTTGCAGCAACAAGTCTTCAGTGAGAGTAATAACTCGTGCTGAGTACGATTTACTTTAAATCCACAACTTCAGATTTGCAGTGCAGTGATTCTTTTTAAAAATCTAACGAAAGCGCTCCCTCAGCAGTTAAAGTCCAGGATGAGGTGCGGGACGCGGGGACTCCTCCGACGGCTTTCGACTGCGTACCGAGTTTGAGAGTTTTCCTGTCAGCAAACTCAGAGCTCAGCCTCTTCTTTATTAATTTGACAAGAGAATGAAGGGCACCTCCTGTGATCTGAGCCCTGCACACACACACACACACACACACACACACACACACACACACACACACACACACACACACACACACACACACACTAACACACCTTTCAGCACAGGATTTTTTGGCTTCGCCACTTGAATGTACAACAACCCCTCCTTCAACCACCGTCCCCTCTCTCTGCTCTCCCAGCATTTTCCCTGGGAGCAGAGGTGATTTCTTTGTCTCCCTTTTGTTTCTCTACTTTCGGGGGAAGAACTCTCCTCTCTCTACTTTTTGAGGAGGTCCTCTTCCGTCCTGTCTCTCTTTGAAAAACACCTCTTTCTTTCTCCTCTAGGGTCTCTTCTCTCCACCTTTCCCCCTCTCTGATCCTCCTTTCTCTCTTTGACCTCCTCCATCACGCTCTCCTCAGCATGTCGACGATGTACAGTCTGTCTACGTCGTGCTGACTGACTGAGACCATGAATCCACCTCTCTGGGGACGGGTGGGTGCGACCGCGGGGCCTCATTTATTCAAATTATCCTTTGGCTTGATTCGATTCCACATATTGCATTGAAGATGACACTAAAAGAAATGGAAGTCATTTCCCAGATAGTGATAGAATTCTTTATTGTTTCACTTATCTCATCGAGGCAACCTGCACAATTTTCTCACCAGGATTAATTTTTCATCAATCTCAGCTTTTGCGCCGATTCAGTCTTAAAGCTTTGGATGCTTTTAATAAACGAGGCCCTTTAAGGAAAAGCTTCTCTCTGTTTTTTCTACTGGAATGTTATCAATTTCTACTGTTTTGTTAAAGCAACGGTCTGGGAGCAGCACTGAAGTCCCACACTGACTCATGTATTGTTTTACAGTTGCACACCTAAACTGTAGTGTGAGAATAATAAACAGCCGTCTGGGATACTCTCTTTGGTCTTTGTCTGTCTCTCTGTTTTTAGAAACGTCTTCCTCTTCACTCGGTTTTCCGAAAGGGGCATTAAGGAATCAATGACCTTTATTGATCTGTATTGGCACCTAGCAGGAGCTGAAGGAGAGAACAGGACGAATTTTCACCTTCCTCTGTCCTGTTGAGCTTTTAAGAGCCCTGTTTTTGATGCTATTTATGGTCCGCACTACCACTGAACATTTACACTCCTAACAATTCCTTCTCTATATGGTAGTTTTCAGTGTTAGTGGCAGGGTCCGCCATCTCCGCACTGAATTAATGCATTTGTAATTTGATCTGTCTGATGCCTCACTGTGTACTGTTTACTCACCTACAGCTGTATCATTGCTGGATTAAGTGTCTGCTAATGCTAACACAACTTTTACTGCTGCTGCAGCCACTTCACATTAAAAGCATTCAACTAGCGGATCACAAGGTGGCTTTTATTGTAAAGCAGTCAAAGAAAGTCAGTGTCTTTGTCTAAGAGGTTAGTGCTAACCGTGACCATATTTGACATCCTGGGAATGAGAATATCAATCAATCTTTCTCTGCTCTGATTGGTTGTTTTCATTCGGGCCCGGTGGATTCTTGAAAACGTCGTTAGGAGCACTACACAAATAAAATCACACTGAATTAAAATATGATGACGTGACAACGGTGTCTAATTGCCAAAAACTATTCACATTTATCATCTTTATGATGCACAGGTCAAATAAAATTCCCTACATGTTGGAATGTGAATCTGAACATACATTGTATGTATTTTTTGTTTTTCAACCTCTGTTCCCAGTTGAGCTGTAATGTTGTTTTGGATTTGAAAAGAGGAATAAAATAGTGAGTAAAAAACGCCTCTCAAACTGTTGATTCACACAAAGATAAAACAAAGATAGTAACTAATACTATCTCCAACACATCCTGATTGACACTAAAAAGAAACAATTCAGGAGTAAATGAGCTTCAGAAGCACCTTAACTTCAAACTGCAGTGAGAGGAAACCTTCCACTTTTCACCAGCAGCAATTAAATATGTTTTCCGAGAGAAGCTAGCGGCACATCCCGAGCTGACGGGTGTCAGTTTGGGTAGAAGAAGCGAACCTTCCTCCTCTCCTATTTGAGGAACGCTAATGGGGATAAGCATGTGCTTCGCCTTGGCACCAAAATGAGGCTCAGCCCTAACTTTTGCAGACAGTGGAGGCTTCATGTGTCCAGGCGGAGCTGCAGGTGGGCAGGCTGGAGCTGCAGCAGAGTCTTGACAGGCTAATTTCTCCTCCGTGTTTCCTTTGGCTCGCCATCAGCACTCCCCATCCACAGGGAAACTAACCGTGATAATTCTGCTGTCTGCCAGTAATTGGCCTCCGAGATTCAGAGCCGCTCACACCACAAATGTGGTGTCGGAGATGTGCCTGATTGGATTAGTAGGACAGATTAATGGATAGAGAGGCAGACAGATAAATAGCTACACCGATAAGAAGATGGCATCAACCTTTTTGAGTTTCGAAACAACACGAACTATGACTGCAACAGTCAAAGCCTGTAAACACATCTAAACTGTCAAAGTAGCTTAATGAGATTCTGTGGCGTTAAACTGGGACTATTTCATATTACGCTGACTGATCCTCTTAGAAAGCAGCAGCCAGGAGCCTGTGATATAAATTCTGGTCACAAAGACAGAAAGAAATAGAAAGAGTGAGACTGAGGGAGGAAGAGGAAGATCCTGAAGAGAGGGAGATGAATGAATATTACTAAAAAGGTTGAGCTGCAGGGCGGGATGAAAAAAACAAGACTTGAGGTTGCCCAATCTGTATCTAACAGAGCAGTTAGTGAAATAAGAATGAGAACCTTTAGAGAAAATCCAATTGTTAAAGTTCAGAAATAAATGAATAAGCTCAATCTCTCAGCCTATTTCTGTGTTTTTACACGAGCTGCAGGACTGTGTGGCTCCTTGAGCGATTAAAATGCTGGAGGCTACATCTGCACGATGCACTCTTCTGACCTGAGTCCCACCCATTCTCGAGTATCAGAGAAGACTGCAAACATCATGTTGATATGTGTAGGTGTAGAGAGACAGAAATACACAGCAACAATAACGACTATAATAGTAGAAATATGACCATGATGCATGGATAGCTCACCTGCAGGAGCTGGTGCCCCATGTACCAAGGCTGAGTCCTTGCTGCAGCGGCCCAGGGTTTGAATCCGACCTGTGGCCCTTTGCTGCATGTCATCCTCTCTCTCTCTCTCTACCACCCTTTCCTGTCTATCTTTAGCTGTCACTATCAATTACAAAAAAAAGAAATATCACCACGATAATAATAATATTAACAGTGTGAGTCAAGCAGGACCATGAGAAAGCACAAAACTCAGAAGAAGAAGTGAAGTTAGTAACATGCATTAATGGGACATGAATGTGTGCAGATAGAGAGTGAGAGGAAGAGAGGAGTTCAGGGCATCACGGGAAGTCCCCCAACTCCACACAGAAGTCTAGGCCTATAGCAGCAGAACTAAGGGATGGTTCAGGGCTCTCCTGAGCCAATCAGCTGTCCTATTTCATTTCCAGGTTTGTACATCCTCGCCTCCTCTCTCCTCCAGATGCAATTTAGGAATTGAGATGTCCTTCAAGATGGCGCACTGAGATTGATTTCCAGGTAAGAGGCAGGAGGACGGAGGAGAGAGGAGAAGAGGAGGCACAAATTAGAGAAATGAGAAAGTCCCAGTGTTCCCACTCCTCCCCTGTCTACATGGTGTGGGGTGAGCGTCTCTTCCTCACTCTCCTGGTTCCACTGCAACTTCACACCTGGTGTCAATCAGCTCAACAACCATCCCAGTCTGCTCACCTGCCTTTCACCATCGCTCCAATCTGCCCCGGACCTCCAGGCACAGCCATCAGCCACCCGACCCGTCAATGCAAAAAAACATGATCTTTTACCACTCCAGGTCCTGGTCCAGTGCTCGAGTTGTGTTTAAATATCACTGAGCGTGGTGTAGGATACACCTCCAGACACTGGTGGTGGTCAGCTGAGGATCTGGATGTGATGAGGAGGGGACAATGAGGTCAACCTGGGCACTGGAGGTGATCTGGATATGATTCACACTGAAATGACAGCTGACAGCAGCAGTGAGGAGAACATATGGAACGTTTGCCAACAACGATATGATGATATATGATGGAGATAGTCACACAATGTGGTTAACTGAAAGAGTGACGGCAGCTGAAAAAAAGAGGGAGATAGAAATGTGAATGAGTATCGTGTCTTCCTGACTGAACCTGTGGCGTCATTACTTTACAGCTAAGGTCTGTAGTACTGAATGAAAGTGACTTCTTTTACTGCTTTTACAGATATCAAACTTTTCAGCAAAACTCTCACAGCATCCTGATGAAGAAGCATCCAAACTTATTTATTATTCATGTGTGAAATCACCCGGTTAGTGTTCTCATTGCAGATTCAGCTCATCAGTCATATGAGGAAAAAAAGTTCTGTAAGATTATTTTACACTTGTTGAATGTAGATTCTGTAATTCAAAAAAAACTCACAGTTAATATTAAGATTTAAAACTGATGGCAGTGCGGGAGAGTGTCTACTGCTGCAGATAACCTCTGAAATCACAACAAAGAGCTGAGGATTTTTAGCAGGTTTCTGAAGATGAAGCATTGTGCGGGACTGTCTAATAACAATATGCCACTAACCATCACCTCTGCACTCTTCAGGGAGAGAAATACTTTCTAAAAAGGAAGCAATATCCACTGAAGCAGAGAGAAACTGACACGGAAAGTTCCTGTAATTCTTTATCGATCCAGCTTCCATGAGGGGAAAGTGCTGGAAGAACATGGCATTTATTACATTTTTTTTTTCCTGTTTTTTTCCGTTGCACTTGGTTGAGTCAAGAGGTTCAGTTGGTTGTAATTTGCGACCTCACCGCAAGCTGCCACTAAATCCTACACAGCGGTCCTTTAAGGCCAACTCACAAGCTTCTTCCACATCTTCCACAGCTGCTGATGAAGACTTGGGGACATGCTGGAAAGCTCTGGAAATAATGCTATGTAGCACCCCAACACTCAGTAAATGCCTATGTTAAAGGAACTCACCCTGGACTTGAATGATGGGGTGTTTGGGTTCGATTTATTAAGGTAGCTACCACGAAAGTTTACCTGTTTTGTGTGAAACTTTTTATGGCCTAATACTTTATGAATAACCAACAACACTGTTAGACTAAGCAGTGGCTCTATTCACACGTACTGTACATTATTTTAAATAACTGACCCCAGACAACTCTTTCAAATAAATGAAATAATATTTAACTAACCAGTGCAGTGTAATACCAATAATATTCACTTTGTTAGTTAAGAAGAAACAAAAACACAATTACCCAAATTACACTTCTTTAAAATAAAAATATTATAGTTGAAATGCTAAATTGTAAACAAAATACCCTTTACCAAAATTGGCAAAACACTGTAGAAAATCAGACACTTATAATAGGCAGAACAGAATTGGCTATTCAAAACTTAAATTATCTCAGGTCTCTAACATTCCTAGTTCTTACCACTTTAATATGATTTCTCTGTACTCATCAGACTCAGATCAAATATGCTACTTAACTAAACTGTAAACAAAACAGTGGGCACACACACACACACACACACACACACACACACACAAACAATAAAAGTTGCAGGCCTGTGTGTTGCTCCGTGCGGTGTGGCAGACAAATCTTTATCCTCAGTGGCAATTAACAGTCACACAGAAAATCCAACTCACGGTCTGGAATAAGTCCTGGAGAAACAGTTCATGAAGAGATGGAGAAGAAAACAAACGACAGCAGAAGCAAAGTCCTCCTCAGGAAGCACGAAACAGTCCTTCCCGTTCAGCAATGGCGTCCTCTTGGCTAGCAGCTCGCTGGTTCCACTGTGATTAGACAGGAAATACACGTTACTGTCCTCAGCTACAGCTTCTTCTGTTACTTAAACATTCAGCAAGTTATCTAC